CATGAGTTTGTAAAAATATTACACAAAATATTTTCATAATAATTCATGAATATTTTTTAAAAATATTTTAAATCTATTTTAGAAACTATTCTTCGAAATATGTTGTAGAAATATTTTGAATTTATGGAAATTAATTATCTGCAGTAGTTCTCGAATAATCAGCAAAAAACTGTTTCATCGTTTCAGAATGAATATCGGTTTCTTGTTTATTGCTTAAATAATTTTTTATGCATTTATGATTTTCTTTATACGTAATAATACTAAGACTTAGTGATAATAAGTTGAGACTTTTTTTGTTTATCGAATAATACCTCCTACGTTAATTAATCAAGTTTTCCGATAAATAATAAATTTATTAGCAATTCATCTAACTTAAAAGCTTTAGCTATTTTTTCCACATGTTTCTTAATAAGTGTAATCTTTTCATCGAGATTTTTCCTTCGAGATTAATTGAATTTAATTTTGCGTTACCTAATAAGAAGATCTGGAAAAAATGTTGACCGTTAAGTTCATGATGATTGACTTGAATTTTCACCTAATGATTAATAATTTTTAATAATTAATTTATGTTAAAAAGGGAATAAAACTTGTTTTTATAAGAAATGAATATAACTTTGAGCTTTTGTTCATTAATTTAGTTTATTATTATTTATTTAACATTTATGTATAAATAAACTTCGGTTACCACATACACAAATAGCTTAAATAAATAAAACACAAATAAGATCAAAATAGTATGTGGACTGCCATCTCTAGAGAGGTGACCCGAACCTTTGAATAAAGCCGCCCCCGCACAACTCGGAAATCCCCGCCTCGACCAATTAGGGTCCAAATCGTAGCTACGTCTAGAAGACTTTTGGCATTTTCCAGCTAATTAGGCTTGAATAAGGTGAACTGATTCTTCCCGGGATGCCCAAAATTTTAGAGTGGAAAATTCTCTCGTCAACGGCTTAAAAAGGAAGGGCCCGCTTGTTAGCAAGCAGTCCATTCCATTCGTTTCGTTCGTTCGTTTTCTTCTTCTTCGTGCTTCGTCGCCTCGTCCAATTTAAGTAATTAGTGCATGTGGGAACCAGAGGTTAGCTAAAACACATTGAGCTTTACAATAAAAGCTTTACTTTAAAAGTAAGTAAAAGAAAATATGATATAACTCAAGTTCTCTGTTACTTTTTATTCCTACTTCAGCTTTGGCGTTCGAAAATTTAGAATAGTTACACTTAATTGCCAAGTTTGTGGTCAAGTGCATATTTCGTTAGGTCCCTTACGTTATTTTATTGCCTAGTGTGTAGTAGAATAATGCAAAGCCAAACTATATTGCCTAGCGTGTGGTGTGGTAAAACTTCGATCCCACGACGCCGAAAAAGAATTTCCCGCAATAGTAGTAACACACGTCCTCGTTATTATCCGAAAGAATAGAACAAACAGTGCGCCTGGGGGAATTACTACTACTCTAAGTCGTACCTGATAATCATGTTATGTCAATCGACGTAACATAACTATTTTCAATTTGTGTCCAATGCTTGATAAGTAATAGAAGTAATGATTTAATAAAATAACCCTTTGCGGCATACATTTTTCAGAGAAACCAGTTTTCGTATAAATTGGTATACAAGGGTTTTTGGGATCGCTGATTACGATTCTGAACTAAGAATTTCAAAATTTAAAATGGCGGATCCAAAATGGCGGCAAAAATTTGGTGTATATTTTATTTTATTGAAAGTTGGTATAAAAGGGTTTTTGGGATCGCTGATCACGATTCTGAACACAGAATTCCGAAATTCAAAATGGCGGTCAAAATGACGGATCCAAGATGGCGGCGTAAATTCAATGTATATTTTTTATTTCATTTAAAATTGTATACAAGGGTTTTTGGAATCGCTGATCACGGTTCTGAACTTAGAATTTTGAAATTTAAAATGGTGGATCCAAGATGGCGGTAAAAATTTGGTGTATATTTTTTATTTTATTGAAAGTTGGTATACAAGGGTTTTTCCGGTCGCTAATTATGAATCTAAACTCAAATTTCCGAAATTCGTAATAACGAATCCAAGACGACAGCAAATATTGATATTTCAGAATTTCTTCTGAAAATGTGCATGTAGAGGTTTTCGGGATGGGTGATCATATTTCTTCGAAAATTTCCTTTCTTTCTGCGGAAAGTTCTGAAATTCCATATTTTTAAATTCAACTCCTTCCATCAATAGAGGCTGTAACAAACCATCATCTGTTCAAATGTTGTAATTTCTGTATGCTGGTACTCCATTAGATCCAATGCCAATTCAGTAAATCAGAGGATAAATCATTACCAAACTTACTTGACTTCAATAATCGTGAAATTATATACGTATACATAAGAGTAAAAATATAGCGAGTGTTAAAAATTCTTTCAGTTATATAGCACATCGAACATTTCAAGTTATCTATTGGAGACCGATGGAAAAACAATTTTAGAGCGATAAAATAGATTCGTACGGATCATTGTAGTATAATACACTAAAATCTGTTGTGAGTTGCAATTTTCGTAAGAGCTTGTACCGATCCTGTAGCATTAAAAATTTTAATTATCAAGTAGTCGAGTTTTTTTATAATTACAAATATTAACGTATCTCATACGAAATGGAAATCGCTGATATTCCTAGCGACACGGAGTCAGTAGATGGACTTGTTGATTCAGACCAAAAGGAGGATGATATAAATGTAGAAACCGAAGATCAGCTTGAAGAGAATGAAGGTGACAGCGATTCAGATGAAGATCAAGGAGAACGCTCTGGCAATGAAGTATGGAAGAAAAAAGGAAAAAATAGAGATGATGATCAATTCACTGCTGATTTCGGACCAAATATCCCCGAAAACGTAAAATTTCCACTAGATATTTTTTGTGCCTTTTTCCTGAAGACATGCTGGATTTACTAGCTCAGCAAACAAATAAATATACACAGGAGAAAACTTAGGAAAAGCAATTGATCAAAAAAGAAGAGTTACTGATTTTTCTAGGAATTAATATTCTGATGGGAATAAAAAAACTGCCTTCTTATCGCGACTATTGGTCGAGTGACCCAAAGTTGAAGGATTCATATATAAGCTCGCTAATGCCGGTTGTTCGTTTCGGATTCATATTAGGTAATTTGCATATATCTGACAACAGCACAGAACCTAAAAAAGATGAGCCTAATTATGATAAATTGTATAAATTGAGACCATTGCTGGATAGACTTCAAGAAACATTCAAAACTTGCTGGAAACCAAGCAAATATCAATCTATCGATGAATCCATGATAAAATTCAAAGGTCGAAGTAGCCTGAAGCAATACTTGCCAGCAAAACCAATAAAACGAGGATATAAATGTTGGGTTCGTGCGGATGAGTCCAGTTACGTATGTGAATTTCAAGTTTATACTGGTAAAATCGAAAGTTCTGAGAAACAGTTAGGAGCACGAGTTGTCAAAAATTTGACGCGTGAACTTGTTGGTAAAAATCACCATGTGTACCTTGACAATTTCTTCACTGGTGTCGATCTATTAATTTCGCTGAAAGAAGACAAAATATTTGCTTACGGAACTGTACGTTCCAATCGTACTGGGTTACCTAAATCTGTAATGCTTGACAAACAAATGAAACATGGACAATACGATTTTCGAACGTCTGATACTGGTATTACTTGGATAAAATGGATGGATAAGAAAGGTGTTTGTTTCCTGTCAAATTACCATGATCCATCCGAAGTGACAACAGTAAATCGAAAACAGAAAGATGGCACAGGAGTGCAGGTAGGTTGTCCAGTCATATGCTCTGATTACAGCAAATACATGGGATTTGTCGATAACGCTGATCGTTTGTTATCTACATATAAAATAGATCGAAAGTCCAAAAAGTGGTGGCACAGATTATTCTGGCATTTCATTGATCTAACTATTACAAATTCATTCATCATATTTTCAAAAATAAACGCTGATAATCCTATAACATTGAAGAAGTTCAGACTACTTTTAGTGGATCGATTGGTTTCTCACAAAATTCTAACTAAAAAAGGAAGAAAGCGACAACCTACACAAACCAATCTTCACAAACCACAAGTTTCTGTTGAAAAAAGACGCTCTCTATCTGCTCATATGCCAACACCCATTGATAATTATAGGAGATGCGCTCACTGCAGTACAAAAACAAAAGATGTGCGAACTAAATGGTCATGTAGTACGTGCAACGTACCATTATGTTTACAAGTAGACAGAAATTGCTTTTTGAAGTATCATTCATGAAAGATTGAAATGAATTAGAAAGCTAAGATAATCAAAAAATTGAAGGTGAGAAGATAAAAATATAAAAGTGAAAAAAAACAAAACAAAACAAAAATACAAAAAAAAATCAATGTGATCTTGGATTCACCATTTTAAAATTCAAAATTCTGGATTCAGAATCGAGATTAGCGATCCCAAAAACCCTTGTATACTAATGTTCAATAAATTAAAAAATATAAACCAAATTTTTGCCGCCATCTTGGATCTGCCATTTTAAATTTCGGAATTCTGAGTTCAGAATCGTGATCAGCGATCCCAAAAACCCTTGTATACAAATTTTCAATGAAATAAAAAATATACACTGAATTTATGCCGCCATCTTGGATCCGCCATTTTAAATTTCAAAATTCTAAGTTCAGAATCGTGATTAGCGATCCCAAAAACTCCTTTGTATAAATTTTTGTAAAATTATAACTGAAAGTTTCTTCAATAATGAATTTTGTTTATAAATAGGGCTGTTTTTTCGTCTTTGTTTAACAATATTAACAAATTAATAAAAGTTGTGGCACCAATTGACGTAAATTTCAATTGTATATCATCCTATAATCGTAAAACAAAAAAAAACTCAGGGTAAATTCATCAAAAACTATTCTAAATTTGCAAAAAATGCTATGAAAAAAGGTGGGAATACGTATTCCCACTGTGCCGCAAAGGGATAAAGAAATTTTAACAATAATAGTTCTATCAAGATGCATCGATAAAACTTACCATTTGGTAAAGAGGGTGGCTTCTTTGTTTGTACTCGAGCAGTAGCATTATTTACCTGCAATTAATTATTAAATTCAATAAATACATATATTTAAATAGATTATAATACGTCACTATTTAATAAATAAAGTAAGATTAAGTTGGCGATGTTGAATTAAGAATCTAAGATAAAGTTGCTATCTCATACAGTTGAAAAGAATTATTATGAACAAAACACACGCAGGTTAGTCAAAAATTTGTTTTCAATTTTGTAAAGTGTATTTGCAGATAACTTTACTTTGAATTATACATAACTTAAACTTATTTTAGTTCTTTATTAATGTTATTGCATTCTAAAGCTTTCAGAAAAGTCCATTAGTGTTGTCGATCTACGGAGACAGTGATCCGCAACTCGCCTGGAAGCTCCAATGACATGAAGAAGCACAAAACGACATAAGCGATCGAACAATTTCTATCAAATTGCGCAATTACCAATCTGCATATTTTATAGTATATATATGATAATTAATAAATATCGATATACATCTATGACATTTAACAAAAATTAAATTAAAATAATATTTTTTTACCATGCAATGTAAAAGATTATCAGTTTGACGTTATTTAATCCCACTTTTACTTAGGGTTTTTGATGGAAAATTTTAGGGGGTATAACCGTAACACAACGATGTCACAACAGCTTACTCTGAGATAACTCTTTACTTCGATTTTATTTCACGGGACGAAGACTGAATCCTTTTGGGTACAGTAGTCATAAAAAATTCGAGTTGGAAATACGAAAACTTAATGGCTCGTTTTTAAAACATGGGATATCCGAAAAGACTTGAAAGGTAAATTTAATTTGTATATTCAATCAGTGTCTATGTTAAATACCTTTACGAATTGTTCACGAATTTTCGGTTAATCGTGGATATTTTGATAATTAATTTGCTAATTTTATCTTTAAATACGACATCATTGTAGCTAGGAAATTTGCTAAAAATCTTCAAGCTGAAATAACAAACTGAAGATAGTTGGAACAACATAAGCTCTTTTCTTATGATTATTTTTATTTTTTAATAACGCTATTTATGATTTTATTTCAAATAAACCATGTATTGATTACCGAAATGCGTGCAACTTGATGAATTGCGATAAACTTTTTAAGGGTCTATCGATCAAAAATGTTATATTATATAATCGTGAATATCTATTTTAAATCCTTCAAAGTAATACTCCTCGAATATAATGCACTCGTGCCAACGTTTTTTCCAATCCTCGAAGTACTTATATAATCAGTTTTTGTGATCTTGTTCAGCTCCTCCTTCGATGCCATCTTTATCTCCTCAATCGTGGCGAAACGTCGTTCTTTCATGGGCCTCTTCAGTTTTGAGAACAGAAAAAAGTCAGAGATGGCCAGGTCTGGGGAATACGGTGGCTGCGGCACCATTACTGTGTTGTTTTTGGCCAAATATTCGCGCACAAGCAACGATGTGTGAGCAGGGGCGTTATCATGGTGTAAAAGCCAGTTTTTGTTCTTTCACAAATCCGAAAGTTTCTGGCGGATCACTTCGCGCAAATTGCGCATAACTTACAGGTAATATTTCTTATTGACCGTACTACTCTATGGCAAGAACTCAGGATACACCACGACCCTGTAATCGAAGAAAACTGTGAGCAAAACCTTCACATTTGACCGAACTTGGCCCGTTTTTTTCGGTTTTGGTTCATGCAGCAGCTTCCATTGGGATGATTGAGCTTTGGTTTCCACATCATAACCATAAACCCATGATTCATTACCAGTATATTTTGGAGCACATTTGAGTCATAACGGTCCGATTCCAACATCTCCTGAGCAATGTTAACGCGATGCTATTTTTGGTCGAAATTGAGCAGTTTTGGCACGAATTTCGCGGCGACCCGACTCATGCCCAAATTATTGGTTAAAATCGAATGGCATGAGCCGATCAATATGTTTAGATCCCACAGAAACTTCTGTAACAGTGATTTGACGATTAGCCAATACTATTTTCTTCACTTTATCAATGTTTTCGTCTGTTGTTGACGTGCTCGGGCGTCTGGTACGTTTTTCATCGTTCACAATCCTCTCGGCCCTCTGAGAGCATTTGTACCACCAATAAACGTTGTTTTGGTCCAAGGTAGCTTTACCATATACCACAGTCAGCATTTGGAATGCGTCCGCAAACTTTATTTTGTTTTTCAGGCAAAATTTGATACAGATTCTTTGATCCATATTTTAGAATAGGCAAAAATCGAAGACGAGCGAAAACACATCCAAGCAAAACAGCTGTCAAAAATTAACTAAACATTCAAAATGGCCGATCTAGTCAGCATAAGTAAGGGACATGAGTACCAACATAACGCTAACCAAAATCGTGATACTTTTTGAACAGACCTCGTATGAATTAAAGAACGACTTCGATAAAAAAAGGGGTCTGAAACGTAACAGAGAAGCTGGCCGAAGAATTCAAAAAAATACATTGTGAGAGGTAAGCGTGGAATGAAAGGGGTAGAGTAGCACGCGACAAAAAATAATTAGTACAATTCGGACCGGCGTGGGGAGAATCTGTGAAATAGTAGTGCTATTCATAGTAGTATAATTATCACGGACAAGTACAGGTATAAATAAGCGACATTTACACCAGTTTTTTATTTTACTGGCACTGTTTAAGTATTTTTTAAAAATATATCAATGATAGTAAATAGGAATCGAAGGCTTTTGTTATCTCACGATTAGTCTTACATCTTTGCAAGATCAGTTTTCCACGTATGATCTATTCCATGTACATGAACTTTTCGATACAATAAGTAGTAATGTATCTGTTTATGTAGCTCATCAACTACTCTAGGATGTTCTACGTTTTATTGTTTTGATGAGTATTCCATTGCTGATTCTATCACAATAGATGTTGATATTTCAATATTATTTACAGGTTATTATCTCTAATATAATTTTAACTTTTGCGACCTTAACGTTATGATTACTGTGTAGTTTAGCGATTATATTCTTAATGTTTGTAACGGTCGAGTCAGATTTTTCTTTGTTGAGTCAAAGTATTCCAACATACACCTGTAAAAAAGGAAAAGCGCTATCAAATCTAAGACGCTACCTCACATATACTCGTAAATTTAGTTGTATTAGAGAACTCGATCAAATTTATTACCATGTAAGGAGCGTGACTCACATATACCTGAAATCTATTCTTTACTATGCGAAATTATGGAGAAGTCTATCCGATTTTCCTTTGTTATTGTTTTGTTTAGAGGAGATGAAATAGCTTATACTGCTATCGAATTTGTGCTATCGTTTATAATTTCATCAACATTGTAAATAAATTTCACTAGTGTATGCGTGAACGTAATGATTAATTTTTATTTTGATGATGATCGCAGTATGTCAGTGTGTTTTGTCGAGTAGGTGATTTATTTTGTTTACTGTGTAGCTAGGAATACTAAAAAAGTTTTGATTGTATTTCTAAAATTAGCATATAATCGATATCACCCTAAGTTAAAATGCGTTTATTTAGAAATTTCTCATCAATCTTCATAAGGCTATTTGTGGTTCAGAATAAAATTTTCAATTTATTCATTATGCAATGTTATACGAGGGTGGTCCGATAAGTACTTAGCCAACAAAAGAAAAACGAAAATTTTGGAAAAGTGGGCGTTTTATATTTCAACATAGTCTCATTTTAGTTCGATACACTTGGCCCAGCGATGCTCCAACTTCTTTAACCCGTCTGAAAAATACGTTTCCTCGAGGTCTGAAAAGTAGGCTTCTGTGGCAGCGATTACCTCCCCATTCGACTCAAATTTCTGCCCGGCGAGTGACTTTTTCAAGTTTGGAAACAAAAAGAAGTCGCACGGGATTAAATCTAGAGAATACGGTGGATGGGGCAGCAGTTCGTAGCCTAATTCGACCAATTTGGCAATGGCGACGGCGGAGGTGTGAGCCGGTGCGTTGTCATGGTGGAAAAGCACTTTTTATTTCGCCAAATGGGGCCGTTTTTTCTGCAATTCAACGTCGAATCAGCCCAATAATTCGGCATAGTACAGCCCTGTGACCGTTTTGCCCCTCTCCAGGTAGTCGATGTAGATCACACCTTGTGAATCCCAGAAAACGGTGGCCATCACCTTTCCGGCCGGTGGGGCAGTCTTCGCCTTCTTCGGAGCACTTTCGCCGGGTAAAGTCCACTGTTTCGACTGTTCCTTGGTCCCTGGTGTATACCAGTGGATCCATGTTTCATCGACTGTCACGAAACGACGCAGAAATTCATTCGGATTGCGCTTAAACAGCATCAGACATTGCTCTGAAGTTGTCTCACGGTTGCGCTTGTTGTCCGGAGTGAGCAAACGCGGCACCCATCGCGCCGACAGCTTGCTCATGCCCAAAATTTCATACAGGACATGACCCACGCGGTCTTTTAAGATGCCTACGATCTTAGCTATCTCGCACACCTTCAGTCGTCGATCTGCCAATACGAGATTGCGAATTTTTGCCACGTTATCCTCCGTAGTAGCCGTTTTCAGAGCACCTGGACGTGGCTCTTCAAAAATCGACGTGCGACTATGTTGAAACTCGTTAAACCAATTTTTGACGGTCGCCATCGAAGGAGAAGAGTCACCCTACACAACATCCAAGCGCTTATTGATTTCGCTGCGCGATTTCCCTTCCAAAAACAAGAATTGAATCACCGACCGATACTGCTCTTTTCCATTTTTCAAAAATCAACGGACACACTTGCTTTCACACGCTCTCAAAAATAAACTACAAGTCCGATCCAGCTGAAATCTTGACGGTAACCATCGAGAAGTTTTTACTACGTGATAAAATATTTCTTTTGCGAGAGTGGCGCCATCGGGCGGTGAGGCTAAGTACTTATCGGACCACCCTCGTAAACTATAACGATTCATAACTTTAACATTGTGTCCATTCTTTGCATTAATTATACCATTATATGTTCGAGTTTGTTGATATTTTTGTCGCTAGTATGTTTACTTGGATCAATCTGAACAGTTACTTGTTACGATATTTCTGTCTCGCTATGGTAATTT